CACTGTGAGTTGTCTTGTTATTCCACTTTTAGTTAGGAAATCATCAAATTCATTGTTGACATATTCTCCTTCATTGCCGCTTCGTAGAGTAGTGATTTTGAGTCCATAGAAATTTTCAACATTTGTTTTATATTCCATGAATTTTTCAACGACTTGATTTTCAGATTTCAGAGTTTTAACCACAGCATACCTTGAGTAGTCATCAACAAAGGTAACGACATACTTTGAACCACCTTTTGATGTAGGTGTGATAGGTCCAATTACATCAGCATGTATCAACTGAAGTAATCTAGTTGAACATTTGGCTTTTTCCTTGGGAAATGGAGTCTTCTTCATTTTTCTCAAAACACATATTGAACAAACAGTCCCCTTTTCTTGGATTCCTTCATGAGTCATATTCGAATCATCCCTTTTCATAAGTTTCTTAACTGCATCATGGTGGAAATGTCCTAATCTTCGATGTATAATTTCTTCGTGTCTAGAAAAGTATATTTTGTGCATTTGCTTCTCTTCAATTCTGTATAATTTTCCATGCCTATGTGCAGTGAGAATGACCTTCTCTTGTCTTGGATCTTTTATGATTGCTTTGCCCCTCTTAAAGTAAAGAGTCATTCCCCTTTCTTCTATTCTTCCCACTGAAAGAAGGTTACCATCAAGCTTAGAGACATACAGAACCTTTGCTAGATGAATAGCATCTTTCCCACATTCTCTGACAGGATTCAAAACAATGTATCCCATGGCAGAAACTTCAATTTTTTCAGAATTGGCTATTTAAGCTTGTGATTTCACTGAAGCTAAATTCATAAATTTCTACTCTTGAGAACACATATGTTCAGTGGCCCCACTATCGAAGTACCAATCCCAGACAAGTTTCCCACCGCAAGAATCAGCAAACAGTGCTTGATATACTTCATTAGAAACAATTTTTGCATGTGGGGTTTTAGCAGCAGAGCAATTTTTGGCAATATGACCCTACTCCTCACAAAAAAAGCAATGGGTTTTTCTGTCAGTATTTTTATACTGTTTCTGTAATGGCTGCATAGTTTTAGTTCTGTACTTATCTCGAGTTTTGAGAGCTTTCTCTAATATGACCTCACTTGTAGCAACTTCTGTTTTCACTTCTGTGTAGCACAGTAATTTTTTCTCTTCAACGATGAGACGCGATTTTACGATTAGGGTCAACAACGTATCTTCTTCACGTTCTAAATTGAAGATAAGGCCTTCCTATTCCTTGGGCAAACCCATTAACATAGCGAGGGCAACTTCTTTGTCCGCAAGACGATGCCTTTCGGTGAAGGTCCACCAATTGACTCAAATAAGAACTGACGCTTTCTCCAGGTTTTAAAGTTACATTAAAAAATTCCTTTAAAGGTCTTAGAGAATGCAAGAGCGAGAATTTTGTATGGATGTCTTTTAAAGTATCCCATGTTTCTTTCGCTCTTTCACAGTCAGCGATGTCATCTAAGAACTGGTCTTCAACCACTAAAAATAGAAAGGTTAAGGCTTTCTCATTAATATTCTTTTCGTCATTCTTTAATTCAGCACCATAACCTGTATCAATCGCTTCCCAACATTTTTTTTTTTTTTTCTTTGAACTAAAACAGCTTGTGCTCGGATTTTCCAAGCATTGTAATTATCTCCATAGAGTTTCTGAATCTTAATTTCTTCCATCGAATTGCTTTCAACGTGTTAGGCTTCGCCGGCGCTGTAGATGTTACTTCTTTTTCTTTCGGAAAAATCAAAATTTCTTCTTAATTTCTGTCAAACTTCTTTAGAGCATATCATGCAGATAACGTGATAGAAATTACTTAAATGGCAGATATATTTTGAAATATAGTAGAACAGAAATAAGCAAAACCACAAATGCATGGTATACATGTTTATTTAACTTGACTAACTAACTGTTGCCATTCAGCAAAAAACAAAAAGAGCTACACATCAATATTAAGGAACATAGAGTGTATATTTACAGCATTGCTTTGGCAGATACATCATAAAAATAAAATAAAGATTATTTCTAACATATACTGCTAAAGATAAAGGAGACATTATATGCCAGACAAAGGAGATTAATTTTTAGTACTTATTTCTATTACCAAAGTCCCAGGTAGTAACCTTTATCGCCTCCAAAATGTCGCCAAACTACCAGTTACCATATTGTAAAGATCAACCTCAAAGTACATATCAGACATCTTTGTATTAATGCTGTAATGCACACCAGTCACATAATGTGAACAAACCACTCATGCTTTAGAGCCTCTAGATGTATGTTCCAATGTGAATGCTTCTTGGTATATTGTAGAGCTATTTATAAGGTTTGTACATGGACATAAAACATGACATGTGAAAACATCCACAGGTTAAAATCCAACTTCCAATGAATCTGCACCAAATCATACAACTGAAAATATTCTACATGGGTTAGTTAACTGTAATATGTCAAAGTAGTGATTGATCTAATTTTTTCAGGTTTGACACTGCAATATCAATACCAATACTTTTTATATAATGAATGGATGCTCACTTACTTCCCTCTCAACCATGACAGTTGGAACAGATCTTGCTAAACTTGTACTTATCTTTCCAGCAGAAGTTTGAAGAAAAAAACTGCTTTATTTAGTTAGGTAATCAACAAATATAAGTTGTACTGCATAAATTATTCTAGGAAATGCACATTTGCTTGGCACAGTTTTTCACAATGCATCACCACTGAATATTCATTTTCAAATAGACACATATCATGCTCACTAATACCCACTTTTTTTATGACAAGGTCGAGTAACTTTAAAAATACTCTATTCGATGCTGTTTAATAGAAATAAGGTCCCAAATTTTGTTCAACTTTTCCAAATTGCAAGATAAAAATAAAGAAATTACAGTTAACTTGTATCCTGCTTTGTGCAAACTACACCAACTTATTCAATTTTTAATCAGGATAACCTAAAACCAAGACTTATGAGTGTGTTATGAAGCTGTCCATTATTGGAATACTGTTTATTCATTACTCAAATTAAACCAAAGTTTTTGATGAGATTTCTTGTCAAAAACTGTTGATAGGAAAGTATGTAGGTACCAATGGATGTATTGTTTAACATGCACTGTCTGAATAAGTGCAATATTTAAATAACAAGAACATCACTTGCATTAACTTTCTGATGTAGTAAAGAAAATAATGAATATATAAATGTGCAATACAGATAACAATAAACAGTTAATTAGGGGGAAAACATTAGAAACTTTAGCATTCATATTTTTTTAATAAAAATCCTCACTTTCACATTTAAGATTATTAAATAAAAATAGGATTGATCTTTACATTATGGTAACTTGGCGATTTTTTGGCGAAAATTTGGCAACCAACTCTCCTACAGCAACCCTCTATTTTTTTTTCCCCACCGCCATTTTGTCTTCACGAAGTAAAGACATGTTTCTTTTCTTTTTATCTACTGATTTACAATTTGTTTTATACATAAATAAGTATAAAACAAATTGCATGTTTGATTATTTACTTCTTCCAACAATCTACTAGCTGAATTACACTTATGCTAGAAATTTTATCAAACAAAACTGCTTAATCATGACAAATATTCACTGCAAAATTGGGAAAAAGTGCACAATACCATACTCCTTACGCGCTTTTCATTTTTTCAAAATAACACATACACATAAACCATGTACACGGCCGACTTATTTTTACTTAAAAAAAAACATACCAGAATTGCACAAAAATGGCATTGCGCACACTCTTCACTATATCAATGTACACTGCTTTTTTCTCATAAATTAGAAAAATTTCACGAAAATACATGACAATTTTCTCAACCTTTAAACCCGGTAAAAAGAACATATATGAAATTACCTGATCGCGAAAAAGTATTTACCCTTTCCAAATATGAACATTTCCACGTATAAAATAAATAAAATATCCAAAAACTTTTACCTCTAAATTTTCTATTACATTATACACGTCACCAACGAATTCATACCGCAAGCATTACAAATACTTAGTATCAAATATTTAAATTATTTCCATGCACGTTTACTTCAACTTAAACGTATACCAAATTCCGACAAACATAAAATTCACAAAATAACTATCATTTCATTAAAATATAATTAAATTCAAAAACACTACTTAAAATATAAATGAGCACATACATTAAATTAATAAAAATTACCTTACAATCCTAATTACTTTAAACTAAATAATTGCTAATAACAATTTTCTCAATAATACCAAATTCCTTTCCACCTTACATTTAGAACAATGCATAAAAATAATATCCTCAAATAATAAAAATACTAACTTACCTAATCTTCTTCAGAATCTTGATTACGTGGCGGATACACTTTTCTAATTCATTCAATAAAATTATTGAAAGATTTTTTCTGCGAATTTTTCCTCCATACTTCCTCCGCTAAATAAAAAGCAAACTTCTCTTTATCACAATGCCTAAATACCCATTTCGAATTCACTTTAGTTACGGCCATGGGATCCAAAAATTAACAAACACGGTTTCACACAACACAGAATAAAGCTAAATACAAAATTTCCATATTTTTTCCCGATTTCCCCCTTTTTCCGATTAAAGAACCGTAATTCGTCCATTAATATCACATGACATCTCCCATTATGTCTCATTTCCCTCACGCAAAATAATGCGTAATCGGAACTGAGTACTGCTCACATTATTACCAAAGTCCCAGGTAGTAACCTTTATCGCCTCCAAAATGTCGCCAAACTACCAGTTACCATATTGTAAAGATCAACCAAAAATAGCAGCTGATCAAAAGACAAAAAATTAAATACAATAATGCAAATGGAAATTCAAACTGTGCTGCAACAGACAGTAGTAACTGCTGAATTAATATAAAAAAAAATAACACTATACACTTTAGCATTAGTCTTTATTTATGTTTATATGTAATATAATCTTTTAAAAAATGCAGATGACAAAGCAAATCATATCTTAATTTCAGATTTAAAAAATTATACTCACTGTAATAGTTGATGGCTTGAGAGGATGATCAAACACCTCCTCCCTTTTACATAACCAAATATTCTTTTCAATTTCATAATTCTTAGCTGCTGCTTGCCTGAAAAATTTAAATAAAAGTATTTTTACACAAAAGAAATTATTTAAAATTACACACTTTCTTAATGCACATAAAGAACTCTTGTTTACTAGCCTAGAAAACTAAATGCCAGGGTAAAGCATCGCTAAATCTTCATAAATATCATGATGCAGTGTACATAAATAAGTATAAAACAAATTGCATGTTTGATTTTTTTATTATAAAAAATATTGTTCTTTATCATACAAGGATTTTTGGATCATACAGTTATTTTCATTCTATGTTATATTATCACAGTTTGAGCAAAATCTGCCTTTTGAACAATGGGCACATACAACTGCCATCATTCTTCATTTCCTTGATGTACAGCATGTACTCTTTCAAATGAGAAAAATATGATTCTGCATTATTCTTTCAATTTATAAAATTTTACTCCATGCATCCCAAATCTTTACACTATAAATGTAAGAAAAAATTTTCTTTACTAACATTGTCACTGTCATTTTATATATTTCATCTGACAAATAATTAATTTTTCAACTAAGTAAAACACTAGTTTATCATGATACCTTAGCTTGAATTTTCAGAAAGCTTGAATATTCAAAGAGACAGTAAAAGATGAAACAGTATTAAGAAAACTAAAATTTTGAAAATCACTGTTTATGAAAACTAAAATTATAATATTAGTCACCAAATTTAAAATACATTTATAATACAAAGCAGTTAGACAAACTACATAAAAAGGAGCTCTAAATCGTTTTGTATTCCTGATAAAAACTTAAAATGTCATAATGAACTGAATCTTTGTAAATTTTGTCAGAAGATACTGATGCTATTGATGGTCATGCATTACTCAAGTGCTTAAAAAGGCAAAAATTATGCAATGGCACCAAATAAGTTTAGTGATGTTTGCTCTAACATCAATAAAAATTAACTTTTTCACGTCTTACCAGTTATATGTTAAGTCACTTAAATGAAGTCTTCTGTATCTACATACTAGTATTTTAAGTGTTCATGTCACAGAAAATTTAATTACCAAAAAAACAAAACAACAACAACAAATAAATAAATAAATAAATAAACTGCTCTTTTCATTATTCACATTGTTCAAAAAAAGCTTTATTGTCCCCGTAAAACTTTTTTTTTTTTTTTTTTTCATAATTTACATTCAAGTTACTTTAAAACACAATTTTCGGAATTAAACTTCCTTCATATGGGTTCCCTCATTTTAGATACTTCTACAAAATTTATACTAGGAGATAATATAATCAATATTTCTTTAGTAATATATATATATTTATTTATTTAGTAAAGAAATATTGATTACATATATATACGAAAGTATCAAGACAACCTTAGTGGTCAAGATACAAATTTACTGTGTATTTGAACTGTATTTAATTTTTACAAAAGTTCTTTTTAAAATTATTTGTGAATTAAAATTTCTTAATCTTTTCTCACCCTTTTTGATTTTGAAGTCAGCTCGATTTGTAATTTTTACAAGATAGCTTTTACTACTTTAATATTGTTTCTAGTTGTTACATGATTTTTCAATTTTACTAAGGAACTATAGTATCAAATGTATTTTTTAGCATTAGCTTTTTAACATTCCTCTTACTTATAATATACATACGAAAACAGTATGTATATTTTGTATTTAAAGAATTTTTATACACAAATAAAAATAAATCTTTGTATATCATGCTCATCATGCAGCACAGCATGATCTTAGCATATAGCTTATCATGAGCCATGAAAAGAATGTTTACTATGTGAACCCATCAGGTACATTTTTTCCCGCTCTTACTATAGAAAGTACAAAAGAATATGCATTAAAATACTTTCGAATTTTTACCAGATATGCAGTACAAAAGTATAATTTTAAAATTATTTATAATGTTGTTTGGGTTATATATTTGAGATTTTGGTTTAAATTTATGTATATCACCTTACTGTTATCCCTAATAATTCATCTAACAATATTGCCACTGCTTGTTTTTAATAGCGTTAAGTCAAGCTGTTCATACATATTTTAAAATATAATTGGCTATATGTATACATAATATCGTTTTGTTGTTTGCTTTTAATGTAGCACAAATAATTTGAACATATATGCCTATCATCCTAACAACGCCCCCATATTTCCGAAATCTCAGATATTTCCTTCAAAGTATTATAACTGAATTATATTCACAGGAAAAGCAATCAACAATTAATCCTTTTCTGAACATCATTAAGATTAAAGTCGGATAACTTTCAAACAATTTAATACATCTGCATCCACACATTATTACAATCCTTGCATAATAACGAAATAGGAGAAGCTCAAAAATAATACAAGGATTCCAAAACTAAATATTCCGTTTGTGATAAAAATTTATTTTATATTTAAAAGACACAGTGAAACTATTATTTACCACTCGTGCGACATTTTACATCAAATGATTTTAAACCTTGCTTCGCCACTACGTACAAATTCTCCTCGCTATCCTTCTCTGCAGAACATCAAACATTGCAGAGAAAAATGATGCAGGCATTCCTAGGAAATGTGTGCCCGTCCCACTAGTTGCACAGAGACATATTTTCAATGTCTGCGCATCAGTATAAGGAACTGTTGATGCGACTTTAGTTGTCCCTGATTATAATGTGAAATTAAAATTTATAATGTTTCTTTTACTTAAATGAATAGTTTTATAAATATAATTATTCATTTTTTTATTTAGACAGACTGGTGAATGAGTTGGTTTTTTTCTTAATTTCTAGATGCATAGTTTAATAAAAATTATATTTGTAATTATTTAATTCATTTTCATATAAACTGTATGTAATTTCTTTGTAGTTATCGTTATATTGTAAAATATAAGAATATATTTTGTCTGTCATGTAATATTATTTTTTCTATGTATATGGAGAAATTATTAAAATGTGGTTGGAGGATTTGATAATTTTGAGTAGGCGCCCAAACCCGGAACGGCTGCTTTTGTTTGCTGGAAGAGTTCAAGATTTGTAGGTATGGTACGTGAAAGTAACGATGAGTTAAGAGGAGATGATCTCTGATGAAGGAATATGAAGAAGGGAAAAGGGATTTTAAGTATAAAGAATTTTACTCGATAGCGTTGTTTACATCGGGCATGGAGGTAAGAAAGGAAGGCGTGGCCAAACCGGCATTAGAAGTGAAGCACTGCTCCGAAGCATCGGTCACAAGATGGGTGTTTTTTGTTTACATTCAGAAGCTCGCTTGACAGCGTTGTGATAGTATTTCGACACACGGCAGTTCCATACAAATCAAAAAACGGGACACTTCCGCATAAAATAAACATTCCTAGTATGATGGATAATAGCAATGTCTATAGTTTAGCGACGTTTACGCAAAAATCTCATCTTGGTTATTTTTCGATAACTAACAACAGCGATTTTGATTATTTGTTTTATAAAATACTAAGTTGTTGAACTACAAAAATATAGATTTTAGCAAAAAAGTTATGCTTAAAGAATGAAAAATACCTCACCGTACCTTTAAAATTGTATACATTTTTCGATACCCTTAATACAGTATTCGCTACTTTTATTTTGTGTTCCAAACGCCAAAATGTTTTAAATAAAATAAATTTTTTTCACATCCACATATTATTGTAACATGTACTTTTTAAAATAAGTGTAAATTACTTTACTCGAAAAATATAGTGAATGCACAGGAATTAAAAATTTCTAAATGCCAGAAATGAAAAATATGAAATATGTATGGATGTTTATGGATGTGCTTACAAAACCTATGTATCTGCCTTTAACAAAATACGTAAATATTTATTAAATTATTTATAAACGTATTTGAAATGAAGCATTTATTCATTCATAAATAACTGTGAAAGTTACTGTAAAGAAATCTAATTATTAAAAGTATCTAAATTTATAATGATTATAAATATTATCTAAATATATATAGTTAAAAGTCTTTAATCCGGACGTCCATAATCCAGAATGATCTATAATCCAGACCTCGAAGCTACAAACTTTCTGCGCATGCGTAAACGCATAATGCGTTTAAGCATGCGCGTAATACCTTTACGCATGCACATAATACCTTTACGCATGAGCATAATACCTTTACGCATGAGCATAATACCTTTACGCATGCGCATAATATGTTTACGCATGGGCGTTTAATGTATAACATACGATATAAGCTAAGCTAAAATTATCTAATTATCTGTATCTGATCTAGGTTGTAATAGTTTTTAATAGCTGAATAGTTGTTTTACTTTTTTCTTTAAATGTTTCTTTTATTTTAGTGCACAGATCTTTAAGGCAAATTGAATTATCTGGATGATTGCTAGGAGATTCTTGACATGTTTGAAAGTAAAATGTTCCATATATAATTGTTTACTTCATTTTCAATAAATTGTTATTGCTATAATTTTCATTTTAACGTTATAGTATTTGTCCGTTTTTCCTCACATTTTCCACACAATTGGTCAGAACGCACAGGTATTACAAACGTTTCTCTACGCAACTAATCCGGACCGATTGTATTCGCACCAGTGGTGCGATTAGCCGCTTAAGCTATTCACACCCAAGGTCCGTAGAAAGAACAGGTTAGCTCACCTGGGGTAAAAAAACGAAAATGCGTTCTCGCTGTCTATTGGCTGTGACGTCACTGAAGTTTTCTCTCCTCAGATCAACATAGATTTTTGCATTGATTTAAGCTGAATGTAAGCTTGTGCGCGACTGTGGAAACTCATTTTTTTTTCCCTCTCAAATATAATTAAATTTATGTAGTATAATGGTTGGTACGCACTGCGCGATTGCATTATGCACCAATAATGCAGGCTAAGGCTCCTATATACCAGGCTGAATCATCAGGCATTCGCGCTCCCAAGTGGGAGATTTAATGGCGGCTGTGTAGTTACGGTGCAACAATTTTGTGTGTTTTTTTTTGTGTAAAATGGGCGGATGTACAGCTATTAATTGTTCAAATAATTCACGGAAAGGTTATACATTGGTAAAATTTCCTAAAAATGAAGAAAGAAGAAAAATATGGGTAAATAATTGCCGAAGAGACAATTGGAAACCTGGTCCAGGCGCTGAACTTTGCTTAGTAAGTATAATGTTAATTACGCCTTCATTTAGAGTTTATATCTTCTCTGATGTTTATAATGTGCAAGTAAAGTGAAATTCTTGTGTACAATAACCTGAGTATCTGCTAATTTCTGTAATAATAGCTATAATTAAATTAGTCTAGGGTTAATGTACCCGTCGCCAAACATCGCCAATGTAGATGTTTTGAATGTGGAAAAGAAATTTCTCTTCTAATATAAAGCGCGGATTTTGTTTTCCTGTGCTAATTGTGGAATTTATACTAATGTAACATGAAAATCATTAGCATATTGAAATTTATTAAAAAATAAATAATAATTTGGAAAGTCAAGATAAAATCTGAATGTTTGCTAAAGATATATGTAACATTATACTATAGTTGCAATATCGTTGGAATGATATATAATTTTTTCTTTATTTTATAATCACTATTGTTAAAAAGTTAGATGAGTTGTTTATGCACGGTGCCCACTACTGTTTCTTGGTTAAAATAACTTCCAGAATTTTGACATTGACATCTGAAGTCAATAAATTGAATAGTGTGAGACAATATATATAATCTGACTTCAATAATTGCAAGGATTGTGCAAGTTTATTTATAATCACAGTATTATACAATTTGGCAATGGAGTAAAGATTTAGAAATGAATGCAGAACATTCAAATTAGTATTTTCTTGTTTCTAATATATAGAAATATAGTCTATTTTCCAGTATAAAAGTTTTACTTAAAAGTATGGGAAAGCAGATTTGTTTCATGCATGATCTTTATAATACTGGTATGAAATGAATGAATTTTAATCTGTAAACAATTTTTTGTTAATATTGAAATGCGTTTTCTTTGGGTACATTTTTAGGCACTTGTGGATCATGTCAGACAACATGCAATAGAAAAAAGATGTCCGTGTGCATAAATTTTCCCATTGTGTTACTTTCTTCATTTATCTAAATTTCAAGGATAATTCTTTTCATTTTTATATGGCATGTTATCAGTATAAAGGCTAGTGAAAATAAATTGGTATGTGTATCTGTTTTTGAAGTGTAATGCTTAAATAAAAAGATGGTGTGTGTTTCTTCATTTAAACAACATTTCAAGGATAGTATTTTTCAGTGTTGTACTGTTTGTTATTTCTCAATGTAAAGGGGAAAAAAAACTGGTATGTTTAAGCATGATAATTTTATTTATTTCTTTAGTGATGCATATATAGAGAGAGAAGGTGTTTGGTCCAACTGAAGTTATAATAAATCTAATTTTACTAGATCTCTCCCTCCCCTCAGGTGTAGAAAATTTTCAAGTGCAGAAAGTTTATTTGCAGAATTAATTCATTTCTGATAAACTTATTATCATTAATTTTTTATATAACATGTTATTAAGTTACACATTTGACTACTGTGTAATAAAATTGTATTTAGGGCAAAAAATTAACTATAATTTTGCATCTGGTGACTAATATCATATGCTTCTAAGAATATTACTTTAACTTTTTCCATAATTTTTTTTTGTATTTCAGGAACATGAAACTGTTATTTTGATATACTTAAATAATAAAAGTGTGTATCTGAATCAATTAATGGATACAAATATTTTACAGTTATTTTTAGAAGATATTTGCCATATCGCTTCTAATAATTCATAAAGTATGTTAAAATATAGGTAAATAATTTGGTGCAGAATTCAAATTTAGGGTTTAAAATATAGTGAATCATAAGACTAAATGATTTTTATTGTCATGATTTGCCTGGGCTTAAGAATGTACTTTTCGCCCGGTGGAAATTGTCATCAAACTGTCCTGAACAGGCTTTTTTGTTGATAATAACTTCCAGGCTTATCAGTACCCCTCCTTTTGAGTGGAGGGTATGCAAATATAGTACCCAATTTAAATTACATTGTGATTGTAATAATATTGTGGTATTAAATAAGTGATTATAATTACAATTTAGGTAATTGCATTGTAATTATATTACATTGTATCTGTGAACTCTTAATTTCATTACTTTATGCAATTATGTTGTAAGTGCATAATCTAATTGCAATAATATAATCTATTCGCAATTACAAAATAATTATAAATGCAGTTACATCTTAAATAGAGGCCATTTTAATACTTTTAAATTTTCGCAAGATAACTTCCCATTAAGGTTCATTTGGAGGAAACTATGCAAATACTAAAAAAGAAGTTATGCTAAATTTACATATTTTGTACAGTACTTTCTTGTTATAATGCTGTTCAATATATCTTCAATACTTTTGTAAATTTAACGACATTCTTTGCAATCACTGTGGTGCTTTAAAAAGAAGTTTCTTAGTTATGCTTTCTAATAAAAATGGGTTTAAAATTAAGTATTATGTATAATAACTAGCAGTTAAAAAAACTTGACTGCATGAAAATGCTGTTGCTGTGTAAAATAAAAAATAAGCTTTCTTTTATGCTTTGAAATGAATTACATGTGGTTAAGTCGTCCTTTTACAATTTAAGAA